GCCTCCAGGGGGCCGGGGTGTCGCGCGCCTGCGCAGCCTCGGCCACACGTGCCCACACCCTCCCGCCGCACTGCGCACCCGGGTTTGGGTACAGGAGGCCACATCTGCCTCTGTTCTCAGCCATTTTGGTGCGAGGTGTTCAGTGGCATTTCAGACACTCAATCTGTCCAGACGGACGCCTTCCAGCATCTGAGATGAAGGCGTGAAGCTGGCATGTGGCCCAGATGGACAACCACTTAAAGGGAGAGACTGCTGGCCTTCTACAGCCAAGGGGAGAGGCCTCGGGAGAAACGGTCCTTGGCCACCCGGATCCCGGCCTTCCAGCCTCCAGACTGGGAGACGGTGGTTTCTGTAATGTCAGCCACCCAGCTGTGGTGCTCTGTACGGCAGCCCCAGCCACCTCTGACAAGGTGGCTGCGTGCAGCTGGCCCTCCCCAAGGGCACCAGCCCAGGACAGTCAGGAGCGCTGAAATCCAGCCTCGCTCTGCCAAGATGCGGGCCGCAGGCATGTCTGTCCGGAGGGGGCGACTTTCACTAACTTGAACAAAGGTCCTGTTTGTAAGATGACCCCAGCAGTATGTGAAGTATAAAATGCACGGCTGGACTCCAGCCCAGTGCTGCCCGTGGGCAAAGTTAACCTGATGGAGGACCCAGGATTGGCCTGAGGCTGCCTGCTGTCTCTCCTGGTGCGGCTAACACTGCCGTCCTAACCCAGCCCCTGAGACACTGACCAAACAGCAGGGGACGTGGAAAGTAGCAGGCAGTGGATTCTCATTATTCACAGGTTCCGTGTTTGCAAATTCTCCTACTGCTAAAATCTATTTGAAACCTCAAAATCAACACCCACAGCCCTTTGGCAGTCACATGCGGACGCACGCAGGGTGGTGAAAATTTTGAGCTTCTTGACAGGTGCTTTCCCAGCTGAGGCTGCAAGCTCTGGGTTCAGCTCTCACACTGCACACGAGTGGCCTTTCCACAGTCTGTTCAGTGCCATGCCTTTCATTTCTTTGTGCTTTTTGTCGGTAATGTTTTTGCTGTCACTGCTTAAAATGGCTCCCAATCTGGTGCTGCAGGGCTGTCTGCGTGTGATTTATGGAGAGAATCTGCGTTAGAGGAGCTTCGTTCAGGCGTGAGTTCTCGCGCTGCTGGCCGTGAGGTCAGTGTTAATGGATCACCCGTGCATGTTAGATAAGGTGTCTTTAAACAGAAACTCCATAAAACAAGGTTACATATCGATCAGGGCACAAACACATGCCCAGAAGCTCCATCCCCGAGACCGATGGTCTGTGGTGACTTCACGGGACATATTTGCCCAAATAATGAGAATCAACTGTATATGAGCTGAAAAAGCAAACTTTCCATCGTCAGTGGCCAATAATAAACAATTACAAACAACCGGGAAAGTGTCTACCGAGACACATCCCTCATGCCACGAGAGAATCCGGCAGGAGAGCTGAATCCGGTTGTGCAAAAAAAGACAAAACTGGCATCTTTGGACGGAAACAACTTGCTTCACAAAGTGACTTGCGTTTGGCTTTGCTGGTTGGGGGCACAGCCTCTACTGAGGGGTGCTTAAGAAAGGAGCCTGAGGAGAAGCCTCTGCACTAGCTAGCTGTCAGCCAGCGTCCCACAGAATCTTGGAAGCCACCACCCTCCAAATGTACACGCTTAGCCGTGGGTCCCTCCCCCTGCCTCGCTGGGGTGGCCCATCTCTTACCTCAGAGACTGGGACTGGCCCCGCCTGCCCTGCATCTCGGGGGTGGCGGGGGCGCTGGTGCGGCCCTGCCGCTGCCCGGGGACACTGCGGATGGGAACCACGTAGTAGGAGGCAGGCTCCAGCAGCCACAGGCTGGAGGCGCTGGGCCCATCCTGCGGGGTGGTGGCCGGGCTGCTGGAAGTTGGAGGGGTTGGGGACAGGTCAGCGGCAGGAACAGGGTCTCCAGGTGTGCAGAGAAATGGACTCCCACCTCCCACCATCACAGCGAGGGTGCCCCCTGTCCCCAGCAAGGTTCTTCCTGCTCCTGGCCCTCCCTTCCTCCCGCCTGACCTGGACTCGCTTCCGGCCTCAGAAGACCTCCTGGGTTTCTCATAGGGGTGGTCCAGGCTCGTCTCCTTCCAGGGGCTGTTCTGGATGGGCGCCCGCTCCAGGCCCCCTGTCTCAGGTCCTACCAGCTGCAGCCCCTCGAGGCTCTGGGGTGGGAGAGGCCGGGGAGGTGGATCTGAGGACTCTGGGGGAGGTTTTGGCCCTTGAGGTGTCTCTGCAGGTGAAAGAAACCCAGTGAGGGCAGTGGCTGGGGAACCGGCCCAGCAAGAGTGTCCGCAGCCTGCGCCTGGCTCCCTTCCCGGGGCTGCCTGACTGGCTGTTCCAAGCCGTGGCTCCAGGCCCAGATGCTCCAGAGTGCTTTCTTCTCCTACCTCCCTCACAGCTCCATTTTATACCTGCCTCCTCCAAGAAGCCTCCCCAGATTGACTCTCCTTGGCCCACATGACTCCACCTTCTAACCTTTGCTCCTGGACCCATGTCTGCAGCTAACTTCCTGTTTCCCTGTTTTTCTCATCAGGCTGTGCCCAGGTGTGCTGTTTCCTTACTGGCCTGGGCATTCCCCCAGGCAGAACTGCACCACCTTCTTGGTCCACCTTGACCCCCGGCATCCTTAGGGTTTGTGACCAGGGTTGTTAATCTACAGACTTGTGTTTCCTCCCTTAGTGCTACCTTGTTTTCAAAAGGGGCAATGACCGTGGCCAGATGGCTGAGGCTCTGACAGGTGCATGCTAAAGTCAAGTCCCAGCAAAAGCGGGGAGGCCCCAGCCTGCAGGCTCTGCTGGAATTCACCTTCCCCTCCACGTCAAAATGACTGAGCATCTCAAACGGCAAAGGGTCAGCACATCCCCCTCTCAACTGAGCGTGCGCGGGGCAGGCCAGCATCCGGCGGAGCGGAGACGCTGAGCCCAGCCCGGCACCACCAGCTCACTAGCGCTCCACTCACTCTCCACTGGAAGAACTTACTAGCAAACTCTGCCAAAGCCCTGAGTTCTCCTGCAGGAGTCCAGCCTCGACAGCCGTCCCTAAACCACCCTCTCACCTTCCTCCAGGAGCAGCCCGTCCGACAGGGAGCTGTCATCCGAGGCGCTGAGCTCTGGGGAGGCCAAAGGGGAGAGAAGGAGGTGAGGAAGTCCACCTGCAGACCGGGGGGCCAGCAGCCAGGCCTGCCCCGCCCCTCCCCTCCCCGACAGCATCCCTCATCAGGAAACGCTAACTGTGCGTTCCGTGCTGTGATGGAGTGAAGTTATTACTTGGAAGGAGAAAAAAATCGGAGGTTAAGAGTGAGAATACAGGAAACCTGATTTTAATCCTGGCTCTGCCATTAGCTTGGCAGCCTCGAACAAGGCGTTTCAGGGCTCTGGGTCTGTTTCCCCACCTGTTCGTGCAGATGCCAACAGGCACACGAAAAGATCAACACCGCTAATCATCAGGGAAATGCAAATCCGAAACCACAGTGAGATACCACCTCACGCCTGCCGGAACGGCCATCGTCAGGAAGAACTCAAATAAATGCTGGGGAGGGTGTGGAGTAAAGGGAGCCCCCGTACGCTATAGGTGGGAATGCAAACTGGTGCAGCCTCTATGGGAAACAGGACAGTTTCCTCAAAAAACTAAGCATGGAACTACCACATGATCCAGCAATTCCGTTCCTGGGTGTATATCGAAATAAGCTAGAAACACTAATTTGAAAAGCTGCGTGCACCCCAATGTTCATAGCAGCATTATTCACAATAGTCAAGATATGGAAGCGACCTAGGTGTCCGTCGACAGGTGACCGGATGAGGAAGTTGTGAGATACACGTGGCTATGACGGAGTACCACTCAGCCACAAAAAGAATGAAATGCTGCCGCTCGGAGCAACGTTAATGGACTGGGAGAGTATTATGCTAAGTGAAATAAGTCAGATAAAGACAAGTACTGTATGACCTCACTTAGACGTGAAAGCTAAAAAACACAACAAATGAGTGAATAAAAGAGACAGACTCACAGACACCGAGAACAAAGCAGTGGTTACCAGTGGGGGGAAGTACTGGGACGGGGGAAGGGGTTATTATGAGATTATAAGAAATCATGTGTTTGAAACTTGTAAAGCACTATAGAATTTAGAGTCTTTCACTCAAAAAAAAATTAAATTTAAAACAAACAAAAAAAGCCAGGGCTCCCTCTGGCAGGGCTTCCAGGCTGTGGAGGGAAAGGCAGAGCTATTTCGGAACCCCTTGGAATTTTTCTAACTTTTGTATCATCTCCTGACACCATAAATACGGCTTGGTTCAAGGACCCCAGATCTGAGCACTCCCGTGTTACCAGCAACAAGAGCAGGGCAAGTGGGGGTTTGCGCAGTGGGGCTGTGGGCCAGTTCAAGTGAGGGTCTGGTGGGATCAGGAAGGTTCTTCACTGGTGACAGGACGTGGCACCAAATGACGTGGCATGTGGCACTTCTGCATAAACAGCAGCCACGAGATCCAGAAGTCAGAGCACTGCCGCCACTGTCCTCGAGCAAACTGCAACCTTCAGATACCAGGTTGACGCCTAACCTGGCCCGGATGGAACTCACCAGGCGTCTTGGCGACGTTTGAGAACAAAGATGAGGACACGTTAACACGAGCCAGTGTTTCTCCTGGGCCAACACTCTTCCAAGGGCTTTACCTATGTGAATTCACGGGACCCTTGTAACAGCCCTGTAAGGTGAGTTCCACTGTCACCTGAGTGTCCCTCGGAGGGTGCGGAGGCTTCCGTCAGCCCGCCAGAAGGTGGCTGCCTCAGAGTCACACTCAGGCGGTCTGCCTGGAGGTGGCTCCACACCTCCACCCTTTAGGGGCTTCCCTGTTAGCTGGCCATGAACGCACAGGTCACTACTCAGAAAATTCTAGGAGGAGTAAACAGTTCCAGCCATCTGAAAATCCTAACGGGGATGGGCTGACTGCAGGCCTGGGGGACAAATCCAGTTACCCGGCTGCTTTTATAAATAAAGTTTTACTGACACACAGCTGCAGGTTTGTTATGTAATGTCTGGCTGCTTTCATGACACAATGTTGAGTAGCTGTGACTGAGACCACAGGGCCCACAAAGCCTGAAAGACTTACTATCTGGACCTTGACAGAAGTTTGTCAACCTCTGCTCCTCAATTTAAACGAAATAGAAACTTTACAGACAGGCAGCTGGTACGCCATGCAAGGCCAGCTGCCCAGGGAGGGCCGGGCGGCCCGAGCTCTGCTCAGCTCCCGGCAGCCTGGGCTCAGGGTTCAGCAGGGGAGACCTCCTCTTACTGAATTCTGGTTCCCAGCTTCTGATCTTTACAAAAACCTGGGGAACAGAGATCGCAAATGTCAGGTTGACGACATTGTGCGACAGCTACTGCTGTGCGCCAGAGGTGCCGTGGGCTCAGAGGCTTGTGTTTTGGCTTGAATGTATGGTCCGGGAAGAAAGCCATCACCCTGGCATTCCGAGTCTTCACAGTCAGAACTCCACGGGCCGAAATGCAAGAGGGGAGTCTGAGACCCGCTGCCTTCGCAGAGGTGGGGGGCTGGCACACCTATCTGCCGGCCGTTTATTCACAAGGGGTTCCTGAGCGCTCGCAGTCTCGGCCACACTGCCCCAACCAGCCCTGCCGACGTCACCCGGCTCGTGGGCCAGCAGACACCCTGGGCGGAGGGGCAACCACAAAGGTCACACTCCCAAACGCTGAGCACTCTCAAAGACCACAGCAGTCCATCCAACACAGCAGTCACTAGCTGCATGTGGCTATTGTAATAAAGTGAAGTTGAATTAAAAATGTAGTTCCCCAGCCACTCAAGGCCCATTCCAAGTGCTCAGCAGGCCCACGCGGCCAGTGGCTGCCACCCTGGACTGGACAGTGCTGATCTAGAACTTTCCATCATCAAAGAATTTCTGCCAGACAGCTTTGCTGATGGCAGGTGCCATCGATCAACAAACTCATTCAGAGCATCTGCAGCTCCAGATCCCTGCTAGGGGCATTTCTCCTCAGGCTCCCTGTGGTCATCAGTTCCACACCTGACCTCTCCTGCCACCAGCAGAGGACCAGCATAGCTATGTGTCCAAACTGAATCAGCTTTGGGTGGAGACCAAGGCGGCGGGTGGATTTTTCTTATTTTGTTGGTTAATTTTGTTTCCTTTTTTAAGCTTGGAATTCAAAACACCTAAGCTGTTAACGAATGATTAACCTCTCTGCTTCCTCCATACAGGGACAGTGCAGCTGGGCAGACGAGCTACAGGACAGGAATTACTTGTCCAAAACCGCCTCCTCCTGGGCTCCCCGGACGGACAGGACGCTGGGACCCGGGAGCCTGGGCCTCGTCAGGACAGGACGCTGGGACCCAGGACTTTGGCCTCATGGAGACAGACAGGGCGGCCTCTCTGATCGGGAGGGTGAAATTAGCCACCAGGCCAGGCTCCGTCCCCCAGCTCTGTCTTCCCTCTAAGTGCCCACCTCCTTAGACGGCTGGCCAAAGCCCCAGGCGTGTCCTGGCCTGCTCCCCACGGCCAGCAAGAAGCATCACCACCCCAGTGGCCACGGCAGAGGGACACCCCACCCCCTCCGCCCCCCCACACCGGAGGCCTGTGGTCAGGGGAGCCCACCAAGCAGCGCGAGGCCAACGAGACACTGGAGGGGGCTGAGACGCAAGGTCGGGGTACAGCCCACCCCCACCGGCTCCGCAGCAGCTCAGCAAGTGGGCCCTTAGGGGCTTTCACGCCCAGGTCAGCAGCTGCCTCTGCAGGGGAGGTCAAGTCCTGGGCCCTGTCGGGGATGGAGGGAGGACAGAGGACTCTCTCCATCAGAGCTGTCCCCCGAGAAGCTGGCCGGCTGCGCCTGCCTCGGTCTCCTGGGTTTACTGGGTCAGCTGTCACGTGGCGGCACCTCCTCCCTCGCCCTCCACTCCTGGCTGCTAGAGGGACCTGGGAGGTGTCTAGACACACCCTTTCTACCCGAAATTAGAGACGCCGTGTGGGTGCGGGCACTGTGCAGAGAGGCGTGGCCACAAGGCCCAGGGACCAAGGGCTCCCGGGCTGCACACAAGCATCCCCCATAGGCAGGAGGCTGCCTCAGCAGGAAGCGACCTGAAGGGCAGGGGTGGGAGCCTGGGGAGCCCAGACGGAGGCCCCGGAATCCAGCTCTGCTCAGGGCCGCTGCCCAACTCCCTCCTCCAGCTCCCTCAGATGCGGCAGGAGGTCTGGGAGCCAGGAGAGGCCGGGGGAGGGGTAAGCCCAGGGCCCGATGCCCTGGGGGTGGACAGGAGGCCTTCAGATACCGACCTGAGCAGCTGGGCGTGGGTCAAAAGGATAAGTCACACCCAAGGGCCCAGACCCACTTGCTAGAAGAGTAACAGTGCTGGGCACGCAATGTCCACTGACAGTCAGTCCCGGGTGCCCCGCAGCCAGCGGTCACTGGGCCACTGGGCTCAGGGACTAGACTAGAGGCACAATCACTAGAGAACAAAGTTTCCTGTTCCTGACCAGAGTGGTTCCAGACACTTACAGGGTGGTGGGGTGTGGCCCTGGTGGGGCTGGATTTCAACCAGACCATCCACAGGCAGCCACGGCCCTGAAGCAGCTCAGTGAGCAGACATGCACAGAATGCAGGCCTAGCTCCGGTCAGGGGACAGCAGAGCCTCGGGCTCCCAGGAGCCTCAGATCACTTGCCCTGTGGGCCTGGGGTCAGAAGGGCTAAACAAACCCTTGAGATAAGCTGGAGGCCAGCCTGGGATGCCTTCCGCCCAGGAGGTCTCCTGGAGGAGGATGGGAAGGGAGAGGCAGGTTGTTTCCTAAGGAGATGGGGAGGGTCTCAGCCCCGGGCTGGTGGGGTGGAGTCCCCGAGGGTCAGGGCTGGGTAGAGCTGGACCCCAGGGAGCAGATTTCCCCCAACGTGGTGTCAGCCTGTGCGCCCCAGGAAGCTCACGGGAGGCTGGGGCGGGAGTGGGCGGCTCTCACCTGGGCCCGGGGCCGGGGCGGCGGGAGGGGCCCCGCTGCTGCGCCGTCGCTCCCCCAGGCAGCGCTGCAGCTCCCGCAGCTTCTTCTCCTCCTGCTGCACCGCGTGCTTCCGCTGCCGGCGCGCCTGGCGGCCCAAGTTCTCCTCCCGGCACAACCGCCGGGCCGCCTCGGCGATCTGCAGCTGCAGGGCCAGCTCCCGCTCCAGGCCGCTCAGGGGGTCCTGGGGGACGGCGGAGTGAGCGGGCGGCAGGGCCCCGGGTCAGAGGCCCCGAGAGCACACCTGCCAGCACACCTGCGGCCAGACCCCCACCAGCCGGGCAGGGAGGGACCCAAGGGTGCCGCACCCCTCACTCCACCAGGAGGGCTCTGAGCAACCGAGCCAGCCCCAGGCCCCTCTTCCGTGCTGAGAAAGGGGTGGGCAGCCCGGGGGCCAGAGCGACCACCTGCATTGGCTGCCGCCTCTCTGGCTGCCTGTGCTCCCGGCTGACCCTCTGCCCACAGGGACCGAGCCCGCTGTCCTCCCTCGAGTCCTAGCCTCCTGGGTTCCTGGCAGCCACGACTTCCCCACAGCCACGGGCTACATGTCAGCCGGCGCCCTGCGTCCCCGCGGAGCCAAGAGCCCGAATGGGGGAGCAGGAGCAGAGACCTGCGCTCCGGAGGCCGCACCGCTTCCCGCCAGCGGCCAGCCGCGGGCCCGGGACGGTGCCCTGCAGCTCCTCACCTCTCTGTGCAGGGCCCGCTCGTCCAGTCTGTAAACGGCTCCAATCCTCCGGCGGACCTTGGGGGCCTTCTCCCCTGGCTTGAGGGGATACTCTGCTGGCAAGGTGCCCGTCAGCTCCTGCAGGGAAGCGAGGTCACACCAGGCTGTCTGGGCCTCAGCTTGGCAGGAGTAGCCTGTCCAGCGGGCCCCGCCTGGCTGATGCCCGCCCTCCCAGGCACCGCTGCGCACATCCGCCCCGTCCCCGCGTCCAGGGCTGTCTCACGGCTCCCCTCCTCCTGGGATCTGCACTAACCAGGACACAGTTTCCATAGGCGCCTCCGTCCCCTCGGTCCCCCTGCAGTCCCCTCCTCCACCCTTCTCTGTGCCTGGGCCCCGCAGGGGCGAACTAACCACTCCCTAAGCTGTCCAAACACCGGGGACCATCCACTGGTCTGATCCCCAGAACTCTCTCAGGATGGAGGTTCCCTCCCTTCAGCCCCCCACGTCCCCGAAGGCAGCTTCAGGCCCCTCAGATTAACCCCAAGCTGGTGCGTGTGGAGGGGACACCCGCTCTCACCGCCTCCCGCAGGCAGAGTCTCCTCAGCTCTTCCAGGCAGGCCTCCAACCGCTCCTCCAGGGCCCGCTGCTGCTTGCGGACTGCGTGGGTCAGCTCCTTCGCGGGGGACACCGGGCTGTCAGGGCCTAGGGGGGTAGGGGCACACGCTCAGGGGAGCCTGTCTTGGACCCCTCTGGACCACCCTGGGCTGATTGCACACAGCCCCTCGCCTGCCCGGACCACAGGCCAGCTGGGGCCACAGCCTGTGTCACAACCACAAAGTGCTGTGTCTCCTGGCTGTGCGACAGGGCCCCGTTACAGCTCAGAGGGGAGGGCTGTCTTACCAGCCGCCTGCAGGGGAGGGAGGGCCGTGGTCAGAACTGGCCCCTTCCTTCTCACCCTCCACCCAAGGCAGGTAACTTCCTCTCCCTCTCTCCCTCTCTCCCTCCTCCCCCCCCACCACACGCATGTCCTTCTCTCCCGTCCTCTCTCAAAACCAGACCGGGCTGGCCCACCAGCTCAGGCCAGAGACACAGCACCGTCACACTAAGCAGATAAGACTTGTCAGCCTGTTAGTAATCACTGGGGCCAGAGATGAGTGTGGCAGACAGATCGCTGCTCCAGACAGGACGAAGCTGCA